AAGCTGCCACCACAAAAATACTCTTGGCTCCGGCTCTTAGTCCTTCCTTTCGTTTCCCTCCCCTTCAGAAACTCCTCTGGAATGCTTTATTGATGAGGAGTTCGATCTGGGCTCCATGGTTTCTAGTCCTGCTGCCAGCGTGCTGAGTGACGTGTCCGAATACGGCCTCCCAATCTCTCCCAAGGGCCGGGCTCGAATCTTCTGAGGTCTGCTTCTTTTCAATCTTCAATTTCGTCCGCTACAGAAGCAACGGCAAATAAAGAAAATGGACGCAGATTTCCCAATTAACAAACGTGCTGAAATTAGATTTTTACTTTTCTTGGCCCCTTCTCCCCTTCCTTCGTGCCTTCACAGATGCTTTTATCACCTGTTTACTGCGTCTGTAGTTTCTATGTTTTGAGCGAAACGCTTGCTTCTTCTTCACTGGCTATTTAAAGGCCTGGTTAAACGCACGCATGCGAAAGCCCAACCATTGCGAACATTGGCGTTTATCACTACGAAATGACGTGGGCATGACTTTGATTTGCGCGTGAATATGTATACAGCGGAGTAGACATTTGATGCATCTGTCTCATCTCCCCATTCCACACCCATCGTGTTTCAGTAGCCCGCCGGCGGTAAGATGACCGAAGTTGTGCTTTGGTATAGGGCTCAGCAGCTCACTTAAGTGTATCACGCAGGAACTTATCTCTCACTTTAAGTGAACCAACCTTCAGCCGTAGAAACGTACCTCAGTAGTCATTTCCCACACACAATCTCTCTTGTCTCTCAATGCAGCGGCGAACTTATCAAATCTGTCGGTTGACTGGTTATGCGATTGGGCCGAGGGCCTGACGCTACGCCAACGTCTCCAACGAAGGCGGGCAGAAATTTGTAATGGTAATGGAGTACCGACAATCACAAGGGAGACGGAATGGCCGTTTCTGGCATATTAGCCGTCATTAGGCAGCCATACTCCATCCCAAGTGTGTAGCACCTAGGACTCGAGTTCGAGAACTTTGATCATTGATTCGAACGCTCTACTAATGAGCCCTAGGTCCGTTGTCCAGTTGACTGCGATAGGGAATATTAATTACGAAGGAGTAGCTCTCACCAATCAAGTAAAGGCGCCTGATCGTCCCATTTTGCCCTGGGA